CACCCTGTGATGAACAAAAACACGCCAGGAGCGTGATGAAAAATCCGCCGGCCCCCTTGTGAAGCTACCAGGCTGTAGGGCGATGGTTCGCAGTTTCCCGCGCCAGCTGCAGCTTCCAGTTTCCACTGTTACAATTATGGTTATTGCTGCTTACTGTTCCTTGTTGACTTCTTCCTGCTTGCTGTTCCTTGTTGATGGACCGCGCGAGGGGGGGAGGCCCCAAACGGGCATTTTTACCACGGCCAAAAACGGTTTTCAGAATTTCTGGGGGGTATAAATTGACACTCCTCACGCAGATCGGCGGGGTCAGGTTGCAAAAACACAAAAAGGATTTGCAACATTTCTGAAATTTGGTGGCACCCCTCACGCAGATCGGCGGGGTCAGGGACCAAAAACACATCGGATTTGCAACTTTTCTGACATTCGGTGGCACCTCTCACGCAAATCGGCGGGGTCAGGGTCCAAGAACAAATGGGATTGGCCACATTTCTGAAATCGGGTGGCACCCCTCCCGCAGATCGGCGGGGTCAGGGTCCAAAAACAAAGGTTTTGCCACATTTCTGAAATTCGGTGGCACCCCTCATACAGATCGGCGGGGTCAGGGTCCAAAAACACATGGGATTTGCCTCATTTCTGACATTCGGTGGCACCCGTGACGCAGATCCGTAGGGTCAGGGTCGAAACACAAAGAGGTCCCGACACTGCTTCACGGCGGCGCCCAGACCTCATGATTTAGCTGTTGCATCTCCCATTATCCGAGACACGGGGCCAGCGGCATGGGGCGAAGCCCTTACGGATCAGTTTCCCTGATCGGGCCATTCGCGGCGGGACGCCCGCCAGAAGGAAGCACATCACGGCGGCGCCGGTGATTAGCACAGACATCCGGCCGCCAGCTGGAGGGCGACGGGCACCAGACCCACTACGCACTCACTGTGGCAGCGCATAGAGGGACGTGCCACAGGAAGACCTTGGGAACGGTTCTGGGCGGGTTTGGGCCAGGGGCCGCGGCGAGGTGGGCAACCCTCGCGGGGTGCCTCCAGAAGAGCCCGGAGGCTTCCGAGGAGGCCTCTTCCAGGGCGAGGGGGCGTCCTCTGTTCAGCCATCGTACTCAGTCTCCGCGAGCTAGTTCTGAGGAGGTGCCCGAAACCCAGAGCCCCTCAGTAGCCCAAAGTGGCATTTCCTTCAGCATTTGTCTCTGAAAGAAGTGTGTGGAGTACAGATGATCGCCATCGCCGAGCGTCCTGGGATGGGAAGGCCGTGCTTAAACAAGTACCCTCCAGCCAACATGGACAAGATGACGCGACAATTTCTTGAAGGCAGGGATGGACGAGGAGGGACTGAAGAACACACGGCCATTATTTTAGCGTCTCGACAATAGCAGGGCCCCACGCCTTCTTGGAGGACCACTCCACTCTCGCCACTCACCCACCTCCCTGTGAGCACCGCCGCGTCTTTGCCTCCTGCTGTCCACTGCTTCTCTCCTCCTCCAGAGTGGGGTCTCGGATTGGACGAAGAGGGGATGAGGGAGAACGTTGGGGGGACCAGAGCTTGAATCGGCGATACATTGCCGATAGATCGGCGATTGGCCATTGACAGCGAACACGTACGGTCCTGGACGGAGCAGGGCTATCGGATCCCCATCGGCTGGGCGATTGGCGATCTATTCATTCTCCCCTGAGCCTATCACCCCCTCACGTTGCCCCTGACGGGAAGGGAGGGGGCACTTAGGGCGCGTCCATAAGAGGGGCGTCCAAAGGTGGGTTCGCGAGTCAGTGCCCGAGGCGCATGCGCGGACGTGGGGGATCTCAGGGGACGTGCTGAAAGAAGAAGAGGGGTCCATGAAATCCGCAAAGATATCATGGCCCCGGCCATGATATCCACACACACACACACCTGGCCATCACCCCCTTTCATGCCGCCCACAGGCAACGGAGGCGGGTGCTGGTTTTCCCCGCGCCAGGAAAGCGCCGAGAGCGGCCACGTGTCGAGGAAGGTGCCCAGAGTGGAGCCGACAACCAACTGCGTGCAACAACTCCTTTCGTCCGCTCCAACACCAAGAAGTCACAGACCACGAGGGGAAGGAGAGCCCGCACCACCGACGAGCCTCCAACAAGCCCACTCTTGGGCAGGGTACCGTCGCATATTATGGCCTCTCGGCCTGGCCGGGAGCCGATGTACGCCCTGCCAGGGCAGCAGTGGGGGCGGAACAGAGGACGAGGGGCGCCCAAGGGAGGGCAGCATCGGCCTAGCATCGGTGATACGCACATCGCTGGAAGATCGATGATGGGCCTACGATAATGGGGCCGCACGTTTTTGGGCAGGGTGTGTAACCCAAGGCTCATACCGTCGATGAATGGGCAATCGGGAGCTGGAGCGCCCCCCCCCCATGAGCCAATGCCCCCCATGCCGGCGTCCCTGGACTCAAGAGGGCCCAGATATCCAGCGGCGCGTTTTCCAAGACGTGAGGCCCACAACTCTTGACGACGGCAACCATTTGTTCAGACACGGTCCTTCTTTGACGGCCATGGGGCTCGAAACAACTTTCTTGAGGCAACAGTTAGAAACATAGACTCGTGATCGTTTCACCTCTGGAGGTCTAGGATGGGAGCATGTGCTGGCACGTCCGACATGGGGGCAACCTCAATGGGCTCCATGCCCGACAACCAATCAAATAGAACATGCACCGCGGTGGATCGTTGTCCAGCTTCGTTTCGTCTCCATTTCGACTCCCGCGCGAGGTGAATGCGAGATGTGGGAAGGGACGGGGGGAAAGCCGTCGCGGGTCGTTTCCTGACGGTCCCGCGGAGCCCAACACAAATCTCGGGAGGCGCAGAACTTTGACAGAACCAGCCGTTGTGATTGATTTTCACGACGCCTGGACGTCCAGGAACTGCTGTTCACACGTGACCCGCAGACCAGACCTGTCCCGAGGTGCGTACTGGCCTAATTTTTTGGGGCGGGTCCAGACGTGGTCACGAGGGCGCCCCAAGAGGCTCCCTAAAAAATTATCCTGGCGAAGGTCCAAACCATATGCAAGTGTGGGTACCGTAATTGTGAATATCTGCTTCGGTGAAGCTCCCTATGGGGCCACGAAAGGGAACGCTGTACTGTGTAAGTGGGGTGCCGAATTGGGTTTCCGGGACGCATGCGGACGGTCCCACTGAGGGCTTCGGTGGAGCTCCCTATGGGGCCACGAAGCGCTCTATTGAGTGAAAATGCCAAATTGGGTTTCCCGGACGCATGCGGACGGTGGCACTGGGGCCTTCGGTGGAGCTCCCTATGGGGCCACGAAACGCTGCACTGGGCGGGTGAAAATGCCAAATTACATTTCCCGAACGCATGCGGACGGTGGCACTGGGGCCTTCGGTGGAGCTCCCTATGGGGCCACGAAATGCTGCACCGGGTGGGTGAAAATGCCAAATTGGGCTTCCAGGGCGCATGCGGACGGGGGCACTGGGACCTTCGGTGGAGCTCCCTATGGGACCATGAAGCGCTGTACTGGGTGTGCGTGACGCATGCGGACGGTAGCGCTGGGACCTTCGGTGGGGCTCCCTATGGGGCCACGAAGCGTTGTACTGGGTGTGCGGGACGCATGCGGACGGTAGCACTGGGACCTTCGGTGGAGCTCCCTATGGGACCACGAAACGCTGTACTGGGTGGGTGAAACGCATGGAGGAGGGGGAGGAGGGCCACGAAACGCTGTACTGGGTGTGCGGGACGCATGCGGGCGGTAGCACTGGGACCTTCGGTGGGGTTCCCTATGGGGCCACGAAACGTTGTGCTGGTGGGTGAAACGCAGGGAGGAGGGGGAGGGGCCACGAAACGCTGTACTGGGTGTGCGGGACGCATGCGGACGGTAGCACTGGGACCTTCGGTGGGGCTCCCTATGGGGCCACGACACGCTGTACTGGGTGTGCGGGACGCATGCGGACGGTAGCACTGGGACCTTCGGTTGGGCTCCATATGGGGCCACGAAACGCTGTACTGGGTGGGTGAAACGCAGAGAGGAGGGGGAGGAGGGCCACGACACGCTGTACTGGGTGTGCGGGACGCATGCAGACGGTAGCACTGGGACCTTCGGTGGAGCTCCCTATGGGGCCACGAAGCGCTGTACTGGGTGGGTGAAACGCAGGGAGGAGGGGGAGGCGGTCCACGAAAAGCTGTACTGGGTGTGCGGAACGCATGCGGACGGTAGCGCTGGGACCTTCGGTGGGGCTCCCTATGGGGCCACGAAGCGCTGTACTTGGTGTGCGGGACGCATGCGGACGGTAGAACGGGGACCTTCGGTGGGGCTCCCTATGGGGCCAGGAAGCGCTGTACTGGGTGGGGGAAACGCAAGGAGGAGGGGGAGGAGGGCCACGAAACGCTGTACTGGGTGTGCGGGACGCATGCGGGGGGTAGCACTGGGACCTTCGGTGGAGCTCCCTATGGGGCCACGAAGCGCTGTACTGGGTGTGCGGGACGCATGCGGACGGTGGAGAGGAGGAGGGGGCAGAGGAGGAGGGGAGAACGCGGGGACCGTTTCTTCAAAACGAGGACCCAGCACCACAGGATGGTCGGGAATCAAAGCTTTCCTCCTCGAACCTCCTCCTCCTCCTCCTCCTCCTCCTTCTCCTCCTCCTTCTCCTTCTCCTCTTCCTCCTGACACTGATGGCGGGATCGTCAGGCCAGGGCCGATGCAACGCCTCGTACGACCAGAAAGCGGGTCGGCGAGCTCACAGTCCTCTACGCTAAGTTTCGAAACCTCGGTTCAAACCTAGCAGTGAAAGAGATCGAGGGAGAGAGAGAGAGAGAGAGAGAGAGCGAGAGACAGAGAGAGAGAGAGAAAAAAAAGACAGAAAGAGAGAGAGAGGGGGGCAGAGAGACAGAGAGACAGAGAAAATAACAACACTGACTGGGATCCCCTGTCCCTGTACTCGATCCTCAAGACTAGTGAGCATCTAACACATATTCACGTTTCACTGATTCCTCCCCCGGAGGAGGCCGCGTTCCCAAGGCGCCGCTTCCCTCAGCGTGTTCTTGGTGGCCCGCTGGAGCGACCACTCGCGCGCGCGCTCCAGCTCCAGCGCAAATCCCTCGAAGCTGAGGCCGCGCGCGTAGAGGCGAGCCTCTGCCAGGAGAGGGCGCGAGGGCTGATGTACAGCGGGGGGTACGGGGAACGGATGCGAAACAAACGCGGAAGACATTCGAAGTTGCGCGCCCAAGGTCGCCGCGGGAGCGCCCGGGCTTCCCCGAGAGAAACCCGAGAAAACCCAAGACGGCGACGCGAGGTCCACCGAAGTTTCTGAACTCATCGTCGTTGGCGCCCCCGCTTCCCTACCCAGTCGAAACATGGCTGCAAGAACGCCGACGCGGCAAAGAGATGAGGAGTGTGCTGATGAATAACGATGGGCATCTCAAATTGATGCGCGAAACTCGTTTGGCTCAACCTTAATTGCAGACCGTCGTGGCCGACATCAGCGCCACCCAACATGGATTGCTTCGCGGTTGCAATCGAGGCGCCCCCGCCCCCGCAATTACGCTTGGCGTCCCCCGTCGTTTCATCTTTCGCGCGAACTGCGCACCGCGCACCGTTTGCCCAGTGCATACCGCAACGACAACTGTTAGCACCCCGCCTTTTCCACGGGCTGGGCGACGCCACGTGGCGGTGGCTCGGCTTCGGCCCGATGGCTTCGAGTCGTAGAGCGCATCGCAAATTGAACGCAACTCGCAGATCGCACGTCGTCCGGAAACCAGAGCGGACCGACCCCAGCCGCCGACCATCGAATATCGGAAACATCGAAACACATCCGTTTGCATGTCTGCTGTCGGGCACGACTGACCCCCCCTGCCCGCATCTCCCCACCTCCCCACCCCCTCCCCTCCCACCTCCGCGCCTCCTCCCCTCCCACCTCCCCCCGACTCCCCCCGTGCTGTCCCTGGGTCGCCCAACCTCGCGCAGCGTGACCCGCGGGCACCTTCGCGCCCTCGCGCTGCCGACCTGCGAAGGGTAGCTCCGCGGCCCCGACCGCGCCCCTGGCGGGCGATCTGGCTGTCCCCATCCCTCTGTCACCAGAAGAGCAAGAAAAATGAGAAGAGACCGAATCAAGAAAACAACAACTTCGTAAGCATCAAACTCTCGGAGGTCCGCGCAGATGTTTTGGATCGGCACTGGACCGCCACCCCCCTCCCTGGCGCGCTGAGCGCGCCAGGGGTAGCGCCAAAGCGCTGCCAAGGGTGGCCAGCGCCCAGCGCCGACCCAAGAACTCTGCGCGGAACTCCAGAATTTTCTGTTTACATCACTTGTTTTCCTCGACTCAAGTTCCCCCCTTTCTCCCCACCCCCGCGCGCCCCCCTCGCCAAAGAGGAGCACAGGGGAGGGAGGAGGGAGGAGGAGCGACCAGGATAAGGGCGATGAGCACGAGCGGCGGCACGATGGGCCCAACACGAATCCCAGAAATCCGCGCGGAACTCCCGTGCTTAATTCGGGGAGGAAGCACCCGGAACGCTCCCATCGCGAACTCTTTGCCGCGAGGCGCGGATGCTCCACGGAACGCGACGCCGTCGTCGACGACGACGTCGAAGCCGCCGTCATCGGCCGCGCGGCGGCGAACGCCTGCTGAGGGGCAACGTTCGGGGGAAACGGGCTCAGGGGGGAAACGTCGACCAGACCGAGCACGGAAGGAAAATCTGCTGATGCTCCCCGCCCTTCGCCCTCGTCGTCTTCTCCTCTGCTCTGGTCCTTCTGGCCACCGCCCCTCGCCCGCGGCCTGGACATCCTCGTCCTGGTGATCACCAACTATCGTCCTCGCAGACACATTATGCTTCCACTTCGCCGCCGTCGTCTCCCCGCAGTCGGAGCCGCCCACTGGGGGAGAAGGTACCCGATCCAAGGTCTGGGCCACCTCCCGTCATGCTGAAGTCTTCGCCCCCCGCCCCCCGCGCGATGCCCCCGCCCCAAGGGCGTGGCGTGGTGCCCCTACGTCCTGTGGGCGTGAGGGGGTGGGGAGATCCCCCTGTGCGTGCCGGATCGTCATCGTCGCCGTCGTCGGCGTCGTCATTGTCGTCTCCGTCCTGCCCCCGCATTCTACCGGGGGGGGAGGCCGAAAGATTGTGGGACCCATCCCATCTGGAGGGGGGGGGTCCGTGGGCCCAGAGCCAGGGAATATATTTTATCCAGAGTCCACCCCCCCCTCCCCACCCCCCAATGCCCATGAGATCGCCGCACCCCCCGCTGGATGGGAAAGCCCGTGAGCCTCGCGAAGGCCTCGCGAATGGGATGCCACCCCCCTGTGGTCGTGGCGTGGTTGCGGGTGCCGGTGCCCCCCCTCCTTCTGTTGGTGCGAGGTTCTTCGTTGTCGTCGTGGTGGTCGTCGTCGTCCTCCCCCCCACCATCCCATCCAGGGGGGGGCCTGTGGAACCCTGGGAACCATCCAAACTGTGGGGGGGGGTCTGTCCCTCGACCCGGGATCATATACGTAGCACCCCGCAACTGCTGCGGATAAGAGTGAGGGGGCGGGCGCGGGCGACGCGGGCGTCGAGCCGGCGGACCTCGTGGCCCCCACCTTCCCTGTCGATGGCGCCCTCCTCTTCCTCCTTTTCCTCCTCCTCCTTTTCCTCCTGCTCCTCCTCCTCCTCCTCCTCCTCCTCTTCCTCGTCCGCGTCCTGGTCCTCATCGTCGTCGTCGTCCGCCTCCTCCTCCTCCTCCTCCTCCCTCCTCCTCCACCTTCTCCTCCTCTTCCTCCTTTTCCTCCTCGTTGTCCTCCTCCTTTTCCTCCTCCTCCTCCTCCTTTTCCTTTTCCTCCTCCTCCTCCTCCTCCTCCTCCTCCTCCTCCTCCTCCTCCTAACCAATGCGAGCAAGCCGGCCGCAGGCTCCGATTTGCGTGCTCTGACAAATTCAGCGCGGGGGGAATCGCTGATGGGCCACCCGGAACGAATGCAAAAACAGCCCGCCGAAGGCGCCGAATTGTTCGCTTGCTCAGTGAACGTAGTTTTGGTCGCGGGTTGGGTCGCGAGTTCTCCACCTCCGCCTGGCAGGAATTCAACAACAGCCCGCCGCAGGCGCCGAACATTTTGATTTGTACAGTGAACGCGGTTTGGGTCGCAGGTTCTCCACCTGGAACGAATACAAAATAAACCCGCCGCAGGCGCAGATGTTTTGGCTTGTTCAGTGAACGCATTTTGGGTCGCCGGTGGGTCACGGGCTCTCCACCTCCACCTGGGAGGAATTCAAAAACAGCCCGCCGCAGGCGCCGACAATTTTGATTTGTACACTGAACGCGGTTTGGGTCAAGGGCAAGGGTGGGTCGCAGGTTCTCCACATGGAGCGAATGTAAAAGAAGCCCGCCGCAAGCGCCGAAAATTTTGGGTGGGTCGCGGGGTGGGTCGCGGGTGGGTCGCGGTGGGTCGCGGGCGCGGTTTGGGTCACGGGTGGGTCGCAGGGTCTCCACCTGGAGCGAATGCAAAAGAAACCCGCCGCAGGCGCCGAACGTTTTCGGGTGGGTCGCGGGGTGGGTCGCGGGTGGGTCGAGGGGTGGGTCGCGGTGGGTCGCGGGTGGGTCGCGGGTGGGTCGCGGGGTGGGTCGCGGGTGGGTCGCGGATGGGTCGCCGGCGTGTCGCGGGTGGGTCGCCGGGGGGGGCTCTCGGGAAGGGTCGCGGGCGGGTCGCGGGGTGGGTCGCGGGTGTCGCGGGTGGGTCGCGGGTGGGGCGCGGGATGGGTCGCGGGTGGGTCGCGGAGTGGGTCGCGGGTGGGTCGCGGGTGTGTCGCGGGGTGGGTCGCGGGTGGGTCGCACGGCGGGTCGCGGGTGGGACGACGACAACAACAATAATTTAAAGACTGTTCGCCCTTCTATGCTCGAGTGTCCAAAAACGCGTATTTTCGCAAACCCTCGATACCCGCCCTCTTCGTCTTCGATCGAACCCCTGGGGGGTATACCTTTTTTTCCTGCAGGCCGGGCCCCGGCAAGCGGCGGGGCGGCCGCGGACCGTCGGCCTGGCCAGCGGCAGCGCTGATCGGCGGGGCGGCCGCGGACCGTCGACCCGACCCCGAGAAGGACGGACATGGGACCGACAACGACGACGACGACGACGACGACGGCGACGACGAGCGAAAGCGAGAGCGAGAGAGAACGACAGCAGGGCCACGAAGGGCACGAAGTAGGCCACCAATGGCGACAGCGGGGACACGAAGAGAATGCGTATGGGGCCACGAAGAGCGCGAACGAGCGGGGGCCACGAAGTGCAGATAATGCGGGGCCACAAAAGGCAACTATGAGGCCACTGAGGGTAGCAACTGGGCCACGTAGGACAGTGAGGGGGACACAAGTGGCGACAGCGGGGCCACGAAGGGCACGCACATGGGGCCACAACGGGCGCGACTCCTGGGTGCCTGGGTGTCGGGAACGCGGCGCCTGGGCAAATTGCAAGTCATTCCAACGCAAGGCCATTCTTCAGTAAGTTGCAAGCAAGTCTCCAGCGAGAGCGCGACTCCAGAGCGCCGGGAGAGCGATTCCTGAATAAATTGTAAGGAGGTCCCAAGCGAGAGCGCGACTCCTGAATAAAATGCGAGGAAATCTCGGGCGGGAGCGGGGGTCCTGGCTAAATTGTGAAGAAGTCTCAGGCGGGAGCCGTTGTTGTTGTAACACGCGGGCCAGGGGCCCAGTTTGAGCATCAATACTTTTTCCTGTCAAAAAAAGGGTGCGAGCGTCGACGGGCACACTTTGATCGAGAAAAACAATATGCACCGGTGGGGGGGATCAACAATAATTATTCTTCAGAAATGGAAATTCAACAACAACAACAACAACAGCAACAACAACAACAACAACAACAACAACAACAACAACAACAACAACAACAACAATCCGCATCGCGACATTCCACTTCAGCCACGCACCCAGGGACAGTGAATGACCGTTCGGTTCAGCCCCCTCACTCTGATAATATGTACCGACGCCGCTGCTCACCAAACATCTCCTGGGGTGCGTTCTGACCAGAGTTCCGAGGCGAATGCAGCCGTGGTGAGGAGAGCCTCCCAAGAAGGCCCAAAACGGCGAACACGAGGCAAGGGTTACGAGAACGGCGCCCATGACACCGTGCCGCGTTTGGACTCCCATCGGGCCCCACTCCGACGCGGTACGGTGCATAGCTGTTCAGCGCTGAGGACCGACAGACAATGCACTGCACCATTCCTGGGTCGAGGATCGACTCGACGACGCCTCGGGGCACACCGACGCGGCACGGTGCACACAAGTCGTCCGCGGAACGGTAGCAGCGTGGGTACCTTCCCTTCCTCTGAGCCCAGGCCGTTCTCGCCACGCAGCCGCTGGTTGCGTGATACGCGACTCTAACCACCAAAGCACGAATGCCCACGTTGGACATACATACATTGACAACTCTCTGTCGCTAGATGGTTGAGCGGGGGGGGGGGGCAGAGAAGGGAAGACGAATGCCACTGCTTGCCAAAAACCTTGCCCCGATGTGTGGCCGCTGCGGCCAGAACCGGCCCGGAGGTTTGGGTCGGGGTCGGATGTCACGCAACGGGCCGCGGCCCCCCCGAGGAAACCGCCGCCAGAGAGGGCCGGCAACGGCAGAGGGGGCCTCCGGCAGCGCGGGGCGCAGCTCCGGGACGCGGCACAGGCAGTCCCAGCCCGGCGGCTGGCCGGGGCTGCTGAGCGCCTCGGGGAGCGGGGCGCGGGCTTGGCGAAGACGCTGGGAACGTGTGTGTTTGCCGTTTTTCGGGCAACCCAAAAAACATGAACCCGACGCGACCATCGTCGGAGCATCGGTACCGAATCGGAACGGGCCGGAATCGATCCACCACCATGCCCCCTGGCACGTCGAGGCGTGATGCAATGCCAAGAGCAGTCTGGCAGAGTTTCTGTGCTTCTCCCGCTCCTCCGAGGGACCCGCCTGCAGCCTCTACCAGCATGCTGCTGCATGCATCGCTCCCCCCCCTCTCGCAAGCGTCACAGATATCGGAGGAGGGCGGGTTGAGACAACGGCAGACCAAACTCGGTCCCTGGATATCCCCCCGGGGGTCCGAGCGCGACAGTTTTACGAGTGGCGGCGATGAGGGCCTCCCCCGAAGACCAACTACTGTTGGCTCAACTCGCCCCCCTCTGACTGCTGCATGCATCGCTCCCCCTCCCGAGGCCACGAGGGGTCGCCAACTTGGACCGATCGGATCGACATGGTGATGGGGAACGTCAGGGGGGACTGGGCGATACATCGCGGATGGGTCGGCGATAGGCTTTCGACAACGACACCGCACGGTCCAAGGCGGGGTGGGCTGTCGGGCCCCTATGGACGATCAATGGGCGATTGGGGGCCGATGCGTTACCGTTTTCGCACATCCCGTGATGGCTTTCGGCTCTCTGGCTGCCGTTCGGGACGGACGATCTGGGCACCCCCAGAACGCTCTCAGCGAGGCGCAGCCGCTGGAAGGCACCCTAGGACTGGAAAGCAGCCGAGAACTGACGAAAACGTTCGAAAACCTCGAACCCGACATCGAGAGGGTCATGGTCCTCCAATCGTTGCCCCTGAACCTGCCCCCCCTAACGTGGTAACGTTGCCCGGCATGCCAGGATACCCCCATATGCATCCCCGAGGCTCCTGCCCCACAGGCCAGGCCCAGTGGCACGACTCTTGGCGAATTCACTGTTACAGGGGGTCGACGGAATGGCGCAAGCCTCATACAATGATGGGGATGGGCCTCGAGAGTTGAGCAGGGAGCGTCCCGTCCCGTCTTAGAACATAAACCCGATGTGTTAAGCCAAGGCAATCTCGGCCAGAAATGTTCCAAGAACATTTCGTGCAGAGCACTACATGTTTTTAGAACATTATTCGATGGGCCTATAGGCGAGCCAGGACGCTTCGCCACTGCTTGAGAGAAGGCCCCCACCCCCCGCGGCCCCCGGCCAGCCTGCAGCGCCAGCGCGCACGCAGGCACGACCTCGGCCCAGCGTTCCTCGCCGAGGGCCAGCGAGGCGGCCTGGCTCTCCGTCGGGCGCGGCCGGGCGACGGCGGGGACAAGATCGACCTCCAATAGTCCACATATGCTTATGACATTCCTTACTCTTGAAGGAAACGCCAAACACCCTCTCTTCCTCGATTTCGGTGCCACGAGGCGCGGATGCTCCACGGAACGCGCCGCCGTCGTCGCCGACCACGTCGACGCCGACGTCGTCGGCCGTGCCTCAGCGAGCGCCCGCCGAGGGGCAACGTCGAAGCGGGACCAGCTCAGGGGGGAAAGCATCGACCAGGACGAGCATACATCGCGGATAGATCGGCGATAATCAGGCCCCCCACAGCGTATCCCCCCACCCCCCTTTGACGTTGCCCACGACATTGGCACGCCAGGCCGGGAACGGAGAAACTCGGCGCGACGCCCAACAGCAGACTCCAATCTCCGACGATGTCGCCTCGATCCCGGCGCCTGTCCTCGACCTCGGCCTCCCGGGCCCCGTTGCCGCTGCAGCGGCCGTTGCCCCCCCGCGCTGGCCCGGCCTGCAGGGCCTCCTCCGTCGCCGTGCCCGCCGACGACGACGCCGAGGCGCCGGCGGGGCAGCTCGGCGCCGCAGGGCGCTGTCCCGTGGTCCAGGGATGGGGCCCAACGAGATAGGGCCCTGAGGCGCCGAGGGATGAGGCCCCATGGCCTGCCTCAGACCCTGGACAAGCGCGTTCCACTGCTCGCAACGTACTCAGCTGCACGCAACTGGCCTGGATCCACTGTATCGAAGCAAGTCGGCTCTACAGCATCAAGGCAAACATTTGTTCTTGGAATGTTTGCGAGTAGGCACTTGGCGAGCAGTGGAACGCGCTCGGTGATCCCTGGGGCAACGCACTGAAAAAAGGCGGGGGCAGGGAGGCCGGGAGGCTCCAACCAGGGAGGTGGAGGGATCCCTTCCTCCACCCCTCCTCTGATGTGGCAACTCGCGGGAGCCTCCTATGCCATCTTGCTGGATCTTGCGAATCGACGCTAGCCGACGCTGGTCGACGCTGGTCGAAGCTGGCCGACGCTGAATCGGCGCATTCTTTATAGATTGTCAGACGGTGACGCACATTAATGCACTCTGAAAACAGAGCTCCGAGGACGTGCACGGCTACCATGCGCTGCTGAACCCCTCCCCAAAGCTAACATCAACTTTCGGAGGTCCACGCGGATTTCTTGGATGGGCGCTGGACCCCCACGGCGGGGCCGCCCCCAGCACGCCTCGTGCACCAGGATGGGGTGTCTAGCGCCGATCCAAGAAATTCGCAAACCTTCGTCAATGTATGTGTATGCCGTGTTTCCTCTTCGAAACAATGGGCCCGATGCCCAAAATTGTCCAACGCCGACAGCGGCCGGTGTTGGACAGACGACATCTTTCTTGTCTGAAACGGACAACGCGCGCGGCAACACCGACAGCGAATCCTGTTCAACACTGGCAGGGACTGCTTTGGGCCTTCATCCCCACCTGTCCCGTCCCCATAGGTCCCCCCCGAAACAAAGGGAGAAGGATCCCTCCCTCCTCTCGGGGTCGAAAACCGGACGGGAGCACAATTTTTCAGAGCAGCGGCCAGCGGCAACGATGGCATCGTTCCTCCCAGGACAGGACAGCTGCAAGCTCTGCGGAGCTGTTCAGGCTATATGCTTTGCCACTGCTCCCCGCCCCGATCCCAGGGACTTGCTTGCACCTCGCGACATGGAGGATGAGGAAGGAGAGGGAGGGAGGATGGGCCCCCCCCCTCCCTGCCTCCCCCTGCTTCCTCCTCCCAGGAAGGCACCTCGGTGTGGGGCGATACATCGGGCTTCCTGGGTGAACTGGAATCCGCTCAGTCGTGACCTATACATCCCCAGGACGAACATTTTTTCCTCTTGGGCCCGGAACGACGGCTTGAAGCCTTGAACAGACGCGTATGAGATAACTGCCGTCGGATCGCATGAAATTCGCGCGGAACCGAATGTGGCTTTGGTGCTTGTTCCGGTGAATCCGATTTCCGTCCGCGCGGATCCGATTTCGGATTTGCGGGATCCGTGTTCGGTCTTATCTTTTACGGCGGGTCCGATTGTTACCCTGTTAAAATTTATACCATTAAATTAAAACAGGAAAACGGAGGAAATCGGATCCGCGGACCCCGGAACCCGCCTGTGTTAAGATTCTACTGGGAAAAGGGTTTCGGTCATGAACTTCCAACTCAGCATCGCCATCTGCACCTCAAGAGGAAAATCTTTCGTACGGGGGAAAGGGGTTCGGTCATGAACTTCCAACTCAACACCGCCATTTGCACCTCAAGAGGAAAATCTTTCGTCCTGCGTACGTATGGGGGCTGCGCGGCGGCTGGTGTGGATTGTACTTCGGCGCGTAGGTGGCACATCGGGCTTCCTGGGGAACCTGAACAGTCGTGGCCTACTGGGGGAGCTGCACGGCAGATGGTGCTGTTGTTTCTCTGGGGGTTGTGGGCGGTCCCCCCCCAGGCAAGAGCTCTTACCGCCCCGACGAGGGGTTGCCATCTTCGGTCTCTCGGGGTGGCTGGCGGTACTAGAGCGACAAGATCCATAGATATACACCCCCTGCCAAGCCCATCCTGGACCCAGCATCGGTGCATTTGCCTCCCTGACCATGCCAGGACGGCGTATGCACCGATCATGGACCCAGGATGGACCTGGCCAGGAGCGGTGCATACGTACAAATCCCGTCGCTCGGATCGGCCTTGAGGGCACCCGTCCCCCTGGCGGCTGCGGATCGGTTTTCGCTCTGCGGTCGCACTACCGGTACCCACCTGTGCGGGGAGCGGAGGGACGGGGCGGCGGTGGGAAATGGCCAGAGTCGATAATCCAGACGACGAGTGTCCACAGAAGCCCCTCTGCGTTTGGAGTAGAGAAACAAACAATAACACAAACATAAACTGTCGGAGACCAATGTAGGATTCCGGGCGCTGGACTCCCCTACTCTGGCGCGCTGAACGCGCCAGCGGGCTCCAGCGCCGATCCGAGAAATCCGCGCGGACCTGCGACAATTTATGTAATTTTCCGTCCCCCGATTAAAGGCGGCGCGCCGATATGAACGCCCAAGGCTATGACGTTGTCGGCAGAAGTTGGTGAAGCAAACGCACATATGAATTTCCGTGAGCCAACGATGCAAGAGGACGATAAACGCACTCATGCACCGTGCCATGTTTGGACTTCCTTCAGGTCTCGCTCCAACGCGGTAGGGTGCATAGCTTTACGGTGCTGAGGGCCGAACACCTCTGCACGGTGCCAATACTGGGCCGAAGATCGACGACGCCACGAGAGACGCCAACGCGGCACGGTGCATACGTGTCGTCCGCGGAAATAAACTGAACTTTCTCAGGTCCGCGCGGAGTTCTCGGGTCGGCGCTGGACCGAGCTCGCTGGGGGCACTGGGACGGTGGGGCGCCGGGGGGGAGCACTGGGGAGCGGGCGACCCAACGCCGACACAGAAAATCCGCGCAGACCCCCAAACAACTATCCAACTGAACGGCTTGTCTGTAGGGGTTCGGTATAAGTTGTCTACGAAACTGACCAATGCGCTGTCGGAGCTGGAATCGATCGGGCAAAACTGTCTCCCGTTGTCTCCCGCGGCCCCTCGTTGCCTCCCGTGGTCTTCCGTGGCCTCCCGTGTCCTGCCATGGCCGTCCCCATCCCTATCCGTAAATAAATATACATATATAAAGATATACCCCTGCTTACCCCGTTTCCTGTATCTCTATTCCCTTTTATGCAGATGTCTATCCTATATCCCCATCCCGATCAAGATATCTCCATGGCGATCCCTACCCCTATCTCCCTCTATCTCTAGCCCTTTGTCCATATTCTTACCCCCATCTCTATCCCGATCACCCCATCGTGGCCCCCATCTCAACTGTGTAAGGCTGCTCTGGGTCCTCTGCCGCAAGGGTGTCATATGTATACAGGCTTTCCTTCATCAAGACGCGGGAGGAGGGGAGTGGAGGGAGAGTGGGGGCGACAAGGGAGGTGACAAGAGGAGGTTACTTCGTTTCATGCCCGCGCCCCCCCGGCAATCAGCACGAGATCCTGCGGCACGAAGAGCGTTGGCGTGTCGAGCTCGGGCGTCTTCCCGAAGGCAAAACCTGACAGAGAACATGGCGACGCGCGCGCAAGGCGCCATTCCGCGTGCATCGTTCGGCCTGCACATCCGTGTGAATGGGGAACCGAATCGGAATCCTGATGGCAACGAATCGGATGGACGAGGGCGGGCAAGCCCCAAACCACGCTCTGCTGTGTCTTCCAGCCCCTCCTTCGCGTTGACTCCCTGAGACTCACGATGCACTGCATGCTGAAGGCAGGCAAGAGGACCATGCTGCATTTTCTGGGGACGCCTTCTCTGCCCCATCGGGCCGCTACCCGCGTCGGAAACACGACAAGACAGTGATCTACAGGACGGGCAAAAGGTCCCCCCTAGGGTGCAACGTGCTCCCCCCTCCCTCCCTCCCTCGCGCGTGGGGCCCAAGTCGATGCGGAAGAGCGAGCCGTCGGAGCGCAGCATCAAGTTGTCGTCGTGGCCTGCCACGCACGCCCAGAGGACGGCCCGGGGCGACAGTGCGAGGCGAGGGCGCAATGATTCCTCAATCGGGCTTGGTCGTCATTATGTTGGCACGGCCCAATCGATGCATACCCTGCACACCGTCCTACCGATGCCTGGGCATCGTCACTGAGATGCCCAGGCCTCGCCAGGTCGAGGCACAGGCACCTGCGCTACGCCCAGCTACACCCAGCTAAGTCCATGGACGCATTCCTCGATGCACGCGTAGGCATCCACATGGCCATGCATAGGCAGTCCACGATGATGCGTAGGCATGGGGGGGTCAAAGGGATGGCTGGGAGCAGAGCGATCGGCCGCCCCACTCCTGATGGGTTCCTACGAAGACCTCCCAAGAGCTGCCTCTTCCAAGCAGTCCAAAGATGAGGAAACATCGCTCACGAACGTGTGGGAAAACACTAAAAACGTTCCAGGGCACTCTGGAGGTGGCCGTGGCGCCCGAAACACCAGTTGTCTGCTTCTCGAGAATAATAATCATCATCATCATCTTAATCATAATCCTAATCATAATCATAATCAGAATAATACGACTAATAATAAAATCAATAATAATCATGATAATAATAATACTAATACTAATACCACTAATAATACCAATGCTAATACTACTAATACTACTAATACTACTACTACTACTACTACTACTGCTACTACTAATAATCAGAATCATCATCATCATCATCATCATCATCATCATCATCATCATCATCATCATCATCAACATCATCATCAACATCATCATCATCATCATCATCATCATCATCATCATCATCATCATCATCATCATAAGCATGTATCGGAAAACCTCGCGTATTTCAGGAGTGGCGTGGGACCTCCCCCCCCTGGTGGCGCTTCCGACGCCGATCCATGAAATCCGCGCGGGCTTGCGAACGTTGATGTTTATGTGGTTGTATTCTTCGAATCGAACCGAATCAAGCTCCGGGGGTATGATGGCAGATCGTCACCTCGCGAGTCGCTGGGGTTGGACGCGGCGCCGTCTTCACCAATGTATACCACGATCGACGCCCTGAGGACGCACCAAGGAATTGTGCAATCCCGCCGCGCGGGCAGGAACGCTGCTCGAGCGATCTGCGGCACCCCCATCTGCGGGCAGAGCCCGGGGAGGGGGGGGGGCTCGCGCCTGCGCGCCTCGGGGAACAAAACCAGAGAAACGAGAAACACATACGACGGATCCTCGCACCTCCCCAGCAAAAGCCACCCCTCCGAGACCGATGACGCCGACGCATGTCGACAGGGAGGTGGGAGAGCGGGGCGCAGGTTGGAAGGCTTCCGATGGGGGGTCTGAACTATAGAACCATCAGAATGCCAGCGCCGCGGGCGCAAAACGTCTGGGACGGCGTGCATTTGCAAAACCGAATCGGCACACACTCATCTGAAAAAGGCCGGAATCCAATTTCCCCAATCAAGTAGCACGTCTGGTCCGCGAGGGTGACTTCATGTATCACCGTTGCTATTGCGGGCCTGTACAAGAAGGATTGCTAAACCAGGGAGGTCGGTCTACCCTGGACGAACTAGACCCCAAGATGCCCTAGAGTAGGCCCTACCCTAAGCCCCAGGAGGCCCGCCAACATATAACATAATGAAGCACACCTTACGCTAGTCTGGGAAAGTTCAGAAGCTGGCGGAAAGTTTGCAATGCCGCAGGCAAGCGCGAGGCTTGGGTACTTATGTAACACGAAACAAGCCCCACCGCAGCCGCAGGGTGGGGAATGATTAATCATGGCAGCCCAGTCCCAGAGACAGTCATCAGCCTGCCGACGGCTGGCCTGGCGGAGGCATTGGTAAAGCTCAGAAGCAGCTTAAGGCAGCTCTCAAATTCACACTAGCGGACTTGCCTTGAAAAGGCTTGGGGCGGGCCTACGCAGAATGAGCGCTGGGGACAAGACATGGGCCTCATCCAGGCCCAACGTGTACCCGAAGAGCGCCCAGAAGGATGCGACGCTGCGGGAAAGCCTACATATGCTCGCGGGTGGGCCCAGGGGCGACCCGGGGCACGCCCGCGCAAGGCCCAGGGGACGCCCTGGGAAAGGCGCGCGGCTACCTAACCTAGGCATGGCGCGAACAGTGTGTCTACGTCTAGGTGGGCCCGGGGAAAGCCCAGGCAGGCCGCGTGCTTCTTTTGGGCGGGCCTGCGTGGGCTGAGAGGGTCGCCAGCTGCGGCGCGCAAGCTGCATGGTTGTAGGTGCTCAAGCCCAAATCAGTCACCCTCGGGGCAGATCGCATGAGTCCAGGGCGCGCCCGAAGCATATCCACCCTGGGCGCAGGGTCGGACTGGGAAAAATGCTCGTTGGCCTGAGGCAGGGCTCAGGTCAGCACGCATGTATGTATAATGTGTCGATGCGC